CCCCCCCACCCCACAAAGCGGGTGCCTGCCTTCCCTTCCCAGCCACGCACGCAAGGCTGGCAGGGACACCCCCAGAGACGGACGTGTGGCCCAGGAGACCCCGTGGAACAGCAGCGGCGTTTTTCGTACCGAAACAAAGTCCGCTTTTCCAGCCGCAGGTCCCGAGACTCCAGGATGCTACTGTCTTGGTGCAGCACCAGAGGCTTTGCAACACGTGGAAAGAACAGAGACCCGAGTCAGAGCGGGGGCGGGCGAACACCCCTGGAACGCGCCCCTGCGTCCTGCCTGCAGCGGGACAGCCGTGCGTCCCACGCGGCCTCTCAGAGAAGGCGGCCCCGCAGACAAGCTAAGTCAGCGCCACGCGTCCCTGCGACCGGAGGGCCCAGGCAGCTCTGGCCAGCAAGACAGAGACAGACCCGCCGGCACCCCCACCCCCCGGGCAGACCCCGTGGCGAGGGCCCTGTACCTTGTCCCCGCCCACCAGGAAGAGGTCCACCGCCGCCCCGTTGAGGCTGTGTCGCTCACAGAGCCCAGCCAGGACCTCCTTGATGGACAGCCCCACCTGGACCGCCACCACGCAGGACGTCCCGTCGGGGAGCTGGACGCTGCAGTGCCTGGCCGCCTTGTCCCGCTCTGGCACCGAGGTCCTGCAGGCCTCTGACTGGGGAGCCGGGAGACAAGTGTCACGATGGGTGCACAGGCACCCCGAGAAGCACCCCCCCGCCTCTGGCCAGCACCAAGGAGCCGACCAAGTGGGTGGGGCTGCTAAGTACCGCACGAGAAGACAGCTGTCTCTAGTCCTTCCTGGCCTGTGACCCACTCACAAGGGCTGGGCTTAACGAGCCGCTGGGCTCTGAACGGGATGGGCCCTTCGCGTGTTGTTTTCAGGGGGCTTGTGTTGGCCCCAGAGCTGGAAGCAGATGGGGCCGCCCTGTGGAGCCCGCTCCTGCCTCACAGGCGGTCGCACTGGGGACCCACCAGGCGGGCCAGATGCACGCGGGGGGCCTGAGGCCCCGCCCAGTCTGGGAGGCCCCTCGGCTGCCCCGCTTATCCTTCTGGCCCTTCCCACCTGAGCCCCCACGACCGGAGGCCTCTCCCAGAGGACTGGACTGTGGACCGTGGAGGGCACGGGGGGGCCCGAGGCCGGGGCCGGGGCAGGGAGCAGGGCAGCGCGGGCAAAGGTTCGCAGGCAGGAACACGCACCCGAGGGGTGACGACCCCTCCCGCGGACACCGGCCATCGGGTCAGAGAAGCCAGTGAGGGGCGTCGTGTCCTGACAGTCCCACACACTATGCAAGGCTCAGCACTGGATGTGCAGGGGGCGGGGCTGTGAGGGGCACAGTAGGAGCCTCGGCTCCGCCCTCCTTTAGCGGCTGGCAGACCACCCCTCGCCCCGGGCCAGTGTGAGGGACAGGACCGGGCCTCCTCGGGGGCCCTTTCGCCCAGAGGACGCTCGACACCCTCCCCGGGTGAGGACGTGGCCCCAGTCGGCCTGCCCGGCCCTCAGCAGGGAGACACCCGCGCGGAAGGGGGAGGTCGGGCGGGGAGAGGCGGGCTCCGGGGCACTGCGGGCCGAGGCTTTCGGAAACGGCAGTCTGCGATTTCATCGTCTGCATTATTCGCGGACTAAGTCGGGGGCTCGGGAAATGGCTACTCAGCACTCGGTCCCGGTACCGGGACCCACACCCGGACGTGGGGGCTCCCGAGCGGGCAGGACGTGGACGAGGGGCCAGCCCGTGGCCCTGTTCCCGCGGCAGACCTCAGGTCTGTCCGTGACGTCTCCCCTGGTCTCTGCGGATCAATGGCGTGTCCCGGCCGCAAAGGGCTCCTGCGTGTCCTTCTACCGTACCGCCTGCCTCGGCCGCCACTCTGCTGTGGCTGTCTCCTCCTGAAAATCTCTGTGGCCCTGACATCGCTTCAGAAAACGGAGTCCGTAGGTGGTAGGCTGATTATAAAATGGCCCCAGCTACTCCCTTCCCCCGGATGCAGGCGCAGTAAGGAAGGTTCTCTGTTTCTTAAGCTGGAGTTTGGGCGGTTTGCTGGCCCGCGGCGGTTCACTGGCTCAACCCTCCCAGCTCTAACTGTGGCACAGTGTCCCTGGAGAGGAGGGGCTGCTCTGCGAGCACGAGCCAGGAGGTTTTCCACGCCCGCTGTGAGACAAGAGCTGGCGGCCAGCAGGTGCCCCCAGCCGACTGAGAGCAGGGTCACGACCAGCAGCCAGCCTGCCACACGGGCCGGGGTGAGGGCGGAAAGGGGGTCCCCTCAGGGTAGCCCCCGCGAGCAGAAGCACAGGTGCGAGGAGGCAGGAGGTGACGGGACGGTCACACGCGAGACCAACGGAAAGCTCTGTTGGCTCTTAGTGGGGCTCACACAACGGGAGCTGGATGAGAACAGACGTCAGCAATAAAGCCAGAAATAATCTAGTGCACAAGCGGCAGCCCTCCCCCGCGTCCCCACGTGCCCAGGAGCCCCGGCCCCACATCAGCGGCACCCGCGTTTGTTCGGCTTCATGAGTGGGGGGTTTGCGTGGCCAAACACGGAGGCGGATTTCACGAATCCGCTGTGGCCTTTGGGAGGGGGGAGGCGGTGACTTACCAGGTCCAGGCTCCCCGCGGAGGACACGGAGCCCTGTGACTCGCGGCGACCCAGGCCTCCGTTGGCGTGCAGGGGTTCTTGATGGGGAAACACAGTGACTCAGCACCGGAGGCCAGCTCTCCCCCTCTGCATGTGATACAGGGCCCGCCTTCCTCGGTCACATCCCCAACCTCACCCTTTCGGGCCAAGCAGACCAGGGACACGGAGAGGCCTCTCAGAGGCACCCCCCTCGGCTAGACTCCGCTCTGCCCTTGGCCGTAGCCGGCCCCCAGACACACAAGGACACGCTCCCGGGGCGTGGAATTGTCACTTCGACACGTGGCTTCTGGGCCTAAATGGACAGTGGTAAGCACCCCGACCAGCGACCGCACCTCTACTCACGCTTCACTCCTATCTTCCCACCAGGTGCTCAAGCGAGCCAACGACCGCCCCATCGCCCCCACTGACTGAACTCGCCGTGACCTCTGGCTAGTCTAGAGATCCCGAGAACTGACACGCACCGGCCCCGCTCCCCAGTCACGCCGCTGTGCCACAGCCAGCAGCTGCAGGCCAGGGCGCCAGGGGACCGCGGTCCCCGGTCCCGCTGCCCTCCTGAACCGCCGGCCCACCTGCCAAGGCAGCAGATCCCCAGACGACCAAGTCGGAATGCCTGGGGAGCGCCCCGGAGTCAGGGTTAGAGGCTGTTCCAGACGGCTCTCTAAAGATCTGCCGGGCGCAGGGACCCCAGACTCCTGGGGGGGGGGCAGCCCCTGCTGTCTCTAGGTTCTCGGGGGTCCCCAGCCCCATCTAACTACAGCTCCTGCCCCTGCGACGGTCTCTCGCTGACTGAGTTCTGCAAGTCTGTCCGCCCACAGCACGACCCCGGGAACACTGGGGTGCCCGTGCCAAGCCCACAACCTTCCTAAGCTGCTGCAGTCTGTCAAACGGGCGCAAGAGGACTCGGTTCGCCGGCTGCTCTGAGAAGGACACAGAACGTACACTACGCAGGCCTCCTGGCGCGCCACAGGCCCCGTCCCGGGAGCCGCCGCCACCTGTCCCTCTCCAGCGCTCCCTGCCCGTGCTCCCTCCATCAACGCCGTTCCAGGCCCTTTCCGCCCCATGCCTGCCCGGCCCGTGTACACTGTCGACTGCTCTCTGCCTCGCCACAAGCTGCTTTCAACCCTCTGCCCCGCCTCCCAGGAGGAGCCCGTCCCTCTGTCACTATCTGCTGAGCTACACGTAAGAAAGAAGCCAACGGAGAAAATATCTAGAATGGGCGACCTACAGCATCTACGATAATACAGAATTACGATTTTGAAAATGCGGGACACCCCAACTATGGTACTGCATTTTAAAAAATTACAAAGGCTCACACACCCCTACACGCACCTAGAAAGCCGCCCAGGCAGGAAACCAAGAGGCTGTCTGGGTGCAGACAAGGCAGGACACTTGTGTTGTCTCGTCTCCCCCATTTCCTACCGGGAGGGCCGGAGAGGATGGCACGCCAGGCCCGCCCGCAGGGTGCCCTGGCCGAGTGGGGAGTGGGCTGGAACGCACCCTCACCCGCTTTTGCAAACGGCACCGAAGCCACACTGTTTCACTCCGGCTGGCCTGCCCCCAAAGGGCTACGCCCGCGGACACAGAGCCGCGTTCTGCGTGTGCCCCGGACGTGCCCTTGCACACCGCCGGCAGACCCCGGCCAGGCCACCCCCACCCGCCACCACACACCGTTTGCGTGGTCGCCGTGCTCCTTCTTCTTCTGCGACCGCCCGGTGCTCCTGGTCCTGGACCAGGAAAAGAACGTTCCTTTTCGTTTCTTTTCACTGTCCTCATCCCCCAGCTCTTCATTCAAGGATCTTCCTGATCTCGATTTTCCACTCAACTATCATCAAACAGAGACGTTAAAATAGCGTAACATTACTTGAACTTTTTAAAATGCGTATTTATTTTTGAGAGAGAGAGAGAGAGAGAGAGAGAG